GAGGATCCGCTTTGAGGACTCTTGGGTGGAAAAGTGCCCCCTCTCCTACCCAAAGGAGAGGGGAGGAGGAGGGAGGCAGAGAACAGGGGAGAGAGAGACCGAGAGAGAAGCGCGTGATGGGGGTTAGGAGGAGGCAGGGCGATACAGAGAAACCGAGGAAGAGACTGAGGAATGGACTCAGGAAGAGGCAGAAGGAAAGGGAGAGACTGAGGCGGAGCCGCAGAGGGCAGGCAGGGTGGGGACGGTGGCTGCTCCAGGTGGCCGAGTGCGGCTCTGGAATCAGACTCCTGGGGGTTGGGCTGGGCGGACGGCTCTAAGACAGTGGCCCAGGGCTCGGGACTTGCCCTCTCTGGCTGTTGTGAAGACAAGGCAGCATGCTGGCAAGGGGCCAGTACACAGGAAGGCCAGCTGCGGCCCCTGCCCAGCCAGCCCTGAAGCCCCTCTGTGCGACACTGCAGCTGCGGCTCATCACTGGCCAGGGCCTCTGAACACCTGGGAGGTGGCCTGTGTGCCGGAGGAAGGGCCCTCTTCCTCATTATTTTTAACAGATTTAAAATTTTAAACCTGTACTTATTCAATTACTCAAAAATTTTATGCATTTGGAACAACCTGGAGAGGCAAATCTATTTTTTAGGTATAGATCCTCCCGAGCTAGATGCAGACCAAGTTTTCGATAAGAACCTAATCTCCAAATTGAGCTGTGCTGGAGTGCCAAGCATGCACAGCACTGCAGAGGCTTAGTAGGAACAAGGAACGCGGGTACCAATAGTGTTGATGTCACTTCTAGCTGAGATGATGCAAGTTCAAATAGGCTGAGTTAAATCAAGTGTATTACGAAAATAGAATTCTTCTATTTCTTTATTTTTTCTTAAATATGGCTACTATAAAAACGTGACTGGTGTCCTTGGCTGCCCTCTTGTCCACTGGACGGGACCACTCACTCCACTGGCCCAGCACCTGATTGCACACTCCAGGCAGGCTCCCCACCTGAGGGTCTAGTCCAGCTGTCCTTTCCACTCTCAAGCTTGCTGGGTTTACCCAAGAAGCAATATGGCCATTGGATTTGCAAATCCATGCAAATGCATTTTGGATTAACTTCCAGCGTGGGCCACGTTGTCCGTAGCTTCCTTTTGGGTTTCAGTGGAGATGCCGTCCACATCTGGGAGGCCACCACATCCAGGTTTTACCCTGATGAGGTCCCATCAGGTCCAGGCACTGGAAGGGTGCCTCCTTATCAGCGCAGCATTTAACTTCTGAGAATTACATGTTAGCTTAAGAATTAACAGACGCAAGAAGGAAGTCCTATGTTATGTAATGTTGGCTGACCTCCACCCAGTCCCCCAGGGACACTGTAATATGAACGTGACATGGGACATTCTCGGGCTGGCGCCTGCCTCTCATAGAACACAGCCTAGATGTTCTGACTGCCCTGAGCACAGGCTGGCCATGTCCCCTGCTGCTCAGCACCAGGCTCAACTGTGCTGCAGAAGATGGCCTCTGGCCCCTGTGGTTCCCCTCAAGGAAAGGATGAGCCTCCACAGCATGTGTTTCCTGTTATCCCTGCAAGACGGGTCATAGTCTCCATCTTCCAGACAAGGGGACGAGCACAGGATAAAAAGGGCTTCAGGGATCATTCCGATCTCAAGCAGGAAACTCCAGACCTGAGGCCGGCTCAGCCTGGTGGAGAGTTTGAGGCTATCTGTCCAACATGCCTCACGTTTTCCAAACACTGAGCCACTGACTGTCAACGCCATTACTGTTTAAAGGAAAAAGAAATTATCTCTACTAAAATCTCACATCACGGAGAGCAGTAAGGACAGTGGCTGGGACACGGCAGGCACGTACTCCATGAACGTCAGTCTCTGCTTCATGACTATCCCCAGTTTTTCTACTCTTGTCTACAACACAAACAGAATATCCCTGTAAAATAAGCTTGAGCTACCCATCTAGGTTCTGGCCCAGAGAATATGGATTCACAGTTTCTATTAAATGTCAAATGGATTTTAATTTTAAAGCTATTTAAAAAAAAAAAAAAAACACAGGGAAATAGCGCAACTCTTTTCTTTTAAAAGGCAAAATCACAGGATTGTTGCAGTAATGGAAAATCGATGTTGAATAGGTTTGGAAGGCTTAGCTCATACTGAAGTTTTCCAGGGGTGAGGGGTGTAAAATAGAGACCATTCTATTCTTGCCACACTTGATTTTGTCTAACCATCAATTGTTTTAAATTTTTTTTTAGTTTCTCTGGAGCGCCCAAAGCCCACTTCCCTCCTTCCTGATTCCCTTTATCTTCATGCCAATAGCAGCCACCCAGGGGGGGCTCTTGGGTTCTGGCTGGAACAGGTCACTGTTAACACACTGTGTGCCAGGTCCTGCGCTGGTGCCGGCCTGGAGAGGCAGACCCAGAACACCCTGAAGGGGCACCTTCCCCCACCGTGCAGGTGCAGAAGGAGCCCTGGGGGCTGCAGAAGGGAGAGCAGGGGAGGCCCTGGAGGGCAGAGTGGCAGGCAGGGCTGCCCAGGGTAGCTTGCTGACCACCACCAAATGTGTGGACGTTCTCCAAGGGCAGCAAGACACCTAAGGGCACCCCGGGAAGGAATATCCTCCATCTGCACCTCTCAGCTTTAGATAGTCGACTCCCCTCCCCACACAGATCTCCGGCAGTTCCTAGAGCAAGCGAGGGTCCAGATGGGCTTCAGGGGAAAGGAAATGTGTGGCTTGTCTCCAACAGGGCCTCTTAGTGCCCCCAGTGATCTCCCTCACCTCTAGGGAGGCCCTTGTTCTTCCTTGAAGGTCTTTCTGGGGTCCCGCACGGTCACCATCCTTTCTTGGTGTCCAGCCCTGTAGGCAGGACCACATTCTTCCTTGCTTGTAGCCTCCTGCCCTGGTGTGACACACGCTGTTCCCAGGCCTGCCTCCTGGGCCCCTTCTCCAGCACAGCGGGACAAGATGATGCCAAGGAGGGCTTCACATGACACGCACTTGTGGCCTCGAGGTTTCTGAAGGTCAAGGTGCAGCCGTGGCTGAGCGAGCCTCAGCTCTTGGCCTCATGGGACTGAAACCAAGGAGTTGGCTCCATCCCTGGAGGAGTGGGCCCTCGAGCCCACAGGCTGTCGGCAGGGTGCAGCTCCTGGCTGTGGGACGGACAAGCTTGCTCTCGCTGGCTGTCGACTGGGAGCTGCTCCTGGCTCCTAGAGGCTGCCCAGGGCTCCTCTCCATGAGCTCCCACAGGCCCTGGCCCTCCCAGTCCCTCCCAACTCCTGCTCTGACTTCTAGACCTGCACTTAGAGGTGAGTCTCCTTTATATTCTTGATGAAGGCATAAAAGCTAAAGCGGAACCTGTAACTCTAGATTTAGCAAGAGTCTAAAGAGCATGTATGGCTGTATGTTACTATTTATATTATACAAATTATATATATCTATAATTATATATACAAAGCACTCACAAGGTCACCAGCAGCCCTCACAAGGCCCACCCTCTCCAGGGCCACTGCCTCCTGCCTCTGCTCTACCCGGCTTCCACTTAAGAGCTTTTAAAGTGGCACTATAGAGGAACTGGGCACTGTTATTTTGAAAGATGGGGGTGGTCACTTTGCCAGCATGCAGTGCTGGGCCTCAGCTGGTTTTGGGAGAACTGGGCTGTGGTCAAAAGCAGCAAGCCTGTGTCTGTGGCGTGAACAGGCGAGCACAGGCCACACTCCACCCCTGACCGGCCCCTAGTTGTTACCACTGAAAGGGAGGAGCCCAGCACACTCGTGCCTGTCAGGCAGGCCAGGACCCCCCACCTGCTGTGTCCCCCGCCTCGAACACAGCCATAGTGTCCCCTCTGCTAGGCACCAGAGGGCTCCTGGCCCTGCAGCCCTTTAGCCCTGAAACTCATTGGCTGTCGGTTTGTGCTGGAGCCTGTGACCCTGCAGGCTGGAGGCAAGAAGGGGGACCTGGGGACAAGAGCTGGTATTAAGGAAAGGGACAGCTATCTGTGACCAGACCCTGCGACAGGACACTTGGAAAAACGAATTTCCTTAAGTTATTGTCACTTCTAGAACAACTTCCTGTTTTTCTGAAACTAGCACGTGCTTTGACAGTCAGGAGCAGCACCTGGTTTTTAAAAGCTCAGACATAAAGAACGAAGCTTGCATCCATTTCCCCCCAGACGGCAAAGCCCTCCCCCCCCCCCCCATGGCCAAGCCTGCCAGGCTCTGACCCCGCGCCAGGCCCTGTGTGTCACCTCCCTGGACCCTGCCACAACTCTAAGAGGCAGGCGTTGTCCTCCGCTTCACTGCTCCCAAAGAGAAAGTGGTTCTTGGAGACTTGAGTCTCCAAGGCCAGAGTCCAAGGCCTGCACATGAACCCAGGGTCTGCGGGCAGGCGACACCCCAGAGCTTACCTGCAGACCCAGCAGCAGCACTTGACCCTGGCAATGCCCTCACACACCTCCCGGGTGATGGGACATGCCTGCACCCCAGCAGTCACAGGACATCCCACTGTGCCCTCCGTCGACTGCACGGCTTGGCTTTGTTTTCCGGTGCATACGTGTGTGTGATCACATGTGTAAGCACCCTGCATACGTGTTTTTGAGCAAGCATGTAAACATCCTGCCTGCGTTTACCTTTGTTTCAAGGGACTATAAGTGAGGGCACCCAGCCACCTTCTGAAAGCCATGGGGCTCCACCAGTACAAGGTGCCTGAAGAGTGCCCAGCTCAGTACCACAGAAACCAGGAGCGCTGAGAGTGAGCTGGCCAGCACAAGCCCAGTCTAGCCGCTTGGTGGCTGAGCCAGAAATGGAACCCAGTGGGCCCACTGCTTGAGCCTCCCTTCTTCCCTCCAGTCACGTCCCCGCAGCTGCTCTGGTGGAAATAGGAGAAGCCATGTTGCACACAGGGACCCTCCTGACCATGCCAGGGACACCGAGCTCCCGCAGACACGGAATCAAGAGCCACTCTCCACAAACGTGCATGGAAATTGTGCAGAGCTGATTGACGCAAGGCAATGGCTTTACCTGGGGATCAGCGAACAGCAGCCCAGTGACTCCATGCTTCACCAGGGCGGCATTTCCAGGGATGTTCCTGGCCAACACAGGGACCTCCAGATCCATCGCCTGGGGAGACAGGAGGAGACACAGGGCACATCTTGAGAGTTGGGCGGTTAAGGGAGAGTAACTTCTTAGGTTAGCCAAGCCACTGGCCATGGGCACAGTGCGGACCTGCCTGCCAAAACAACACCCCACTGCAGCCTGCACTTTCAAACTACATCTAAACTTTAGCTGCCTGCTGTGTTCAGAAGCCCTGGGAAATGGCACACTGTCATAATCACATTTGACAAATCACTATTCCAATGTCACAGAGCCAGCTAGGAGTTAGGGACAGTAAACGGCTCAGTCCTGATGTCATGGACTCGACTGGACAAACACGTGAGTTGTGTCAGACACGCCCAACACCTCTTTGCCTCTGAACCCACCTGGGTCTAGTTTCCCCAGAGCTCTACCACCTCACAGGTGGATGGAGGCTTCACATCAGCCCTTCTGAAACCCTCTGCCGCCATCACCTCTTTCAGCAGTATGGCTGCCACTTGCAGAGAGACTACCTATACTTCAGGGCCAATCCTAGGAAACCCAGTAGCCGGGGCTGCCTGGGAACAAAGGAAGCCCAAGTGCAGAGGGGCAGATGTGGCACCCGTGTGGATGGATGGCTTGCTGAGCTTGTGGGCAGCTCCGGTCCCTCGACACGCTGCACTGAGCCAATGATCATGGCTTGGTCTGAGCACACCACTGACACATGCTCAGCATGTCGGATCTTACATCACTGGGCTGCCAGAGCCTCTCCTGGGGATGCAGGGGCATTTGGGGTGTAATGCTTTGATGCAAGAACTATCCAGTCCAGTGCCTTGAAAAATACTCCTCTTCCCACAGCTCCCTGCACCCCAGTTACGTACTCCTAGCTGTGACCACTCAGGAGACCTGTCACTTTCCAAAGTGGGCAGGGCATAATCCTGCCACACATGTACACACGAACATGCACACTTTGAGACCTGTCAGTCAAACTGCCACAGCCATGGTTGTCTTGGAGACATTGCTGAGGGGTCTTCCCTCACTAGGGCCTGCAGGCTCAAGGTCAGGGGTTGAGCTCTTGCTGCCTCTGGCTGTGGAACTGAGCCTCCCTCCCTCCTCCCAGGTGGCAAACTGTGCTGGACAGTAGAGAGAGAGAGAGAGAGAGAGAGAGAGAGAAGGGGGCAGACACAGAGAAGGAGCGGTGTGTGAATTAGGAAGACAAGGATAGAAAATGGTTCTTGGTGTTCTTTTAACGCAATTCTACGCAGAACTCAGGACTGGACTCAGCTCAAACTTGGAAGGAGCTATGGTTTCAGGACTATTCACCCTACTGCCATGCACCCAGCTCACTGTTGGCGAGAATGTGCTTTAGCAAGTGGCACTCTCACATGCTTCCATGGGGAAGCGAGCAGATTCTGACAGGTCAAAGATCACTTCCTTCAGATGTAACATGCCCACTCGGTGATGAGCCGCTGGGCTACTTGAATTGCCCCTAATGAAGCGCACCCCTATTCAGCCTCCACAATCAGTTCCATTCAGAACCCTTCGTCCAAAGGTTATTTTGGACTTTTCAAAAGGAACACAACATCAACATTTTAAGGCAGGCAGAATTGCCAACAGCTGCCTTTCCTTTGAAGTAAATGAGGTTTGACAGCAATTCATCTGCGATGAAGTGCTGTGTGTGTGCTAGTTATAAAATCATTCCCCGGCTCCGCTTTACCTTTTCTTAAGAAGTTGAAAAAAGTGTGTATTTCCATACAAAGGAGCGACTCAGCAGCCGTAAGGGTGCATTCTAAGAATGTACCTATTCAGAGCTAAAAGGAAGGGTGGACGGTGATGTTTCCATGCTGTGGCTGAGAGCCCAGTGGAGCTGGTGTGATCGGCAAGCACAGACCTGGGCGTGGACACCTGGCGGGAGAGAAACCACTGCAGGTTCTCACTCTGTGCTCTCAAAGCCTCCCAGTGCCGAATTCTGGCCTCGGCGTTTAGCTTCTACTGGCTCCCGAGTGTTTCTTCCCAAATGATGCCAGATTAGAAGAAAACATTAACTCTAATCATTTCTTAAATTTAGGGAGAGTATTTTCTTGTCCTACTTTACCATGTTGTCTGAAACCCTAACTTTAAAAATCGTACCTTTTGTCAGTAAGTTTGGTGCAGGCCAAAGCACGTGCACTATAGACAGGACACTAAGACTGTGGCCAGCTGCGGGATCACACAGGAGCGCACCCTGCACGGTCCCTGGATGTAGGGAACCAGACTCGGCACCAGAGAAGGGAAAGCCCGTGCGGTGGGCGTGTGCCAGAGCCATCTTGGGGACTCAGAGTGAAGCAGTTAAGCCACTCTGGTCACATTCCCTTTCCCAGAAAGCTTTCCGGTGGCAAGGGATGCTTTAGGGGGTCAGGTTACGAAGTAGACACCAGACTGATGCCCTCTCACAGCGCACGCACTGCCCAGCAGAGCCCACCAGGACTCCCTGAGCAGAGCCCTACTTGGGTGGTCTCAGCCCTGCAAACACAGACAGGTCTGGCTGCTGCCTGCAGAGCTGTGCTGGAGATGCACACGTGGCCATGGAGTGTCCCCAACACTAGACAGAGGACAGAGCCAACCCACGTCCACCGCACCACCGTCCCCTCCCCTGCAGGGATAGGGTGCAACTCTTCTGCTCAGGACAGCGCAGCCAGATGAGAGGTGGCATGAAACAGGCTGCTTGCGAACAGCTCCGTGGTCTTCCTGGGAACCGACCCAGAGGGTCGGGGGACAACAAAGGCCGAATCTATTTGTCTCTGCACTTGGTGAGGGCGGTGGCCGTGGGCAATGGGGTGACATTTTGGAGGCCCAGATTGAACTGCAAGGGGGCTTTAAACTCCACAGGTCATGCTGCTTTGCTCTTTCAGCTTGGGGAGTGTTACTGACAAAGACATCACCGTCACAAGTGGGGGACGGAGAGACTGTCTCAGCCCACGCTGAGCTCCCTCACACGGTTACCTCCAGAATGGCGGCCGACATGCCCTCAGAGACAGAGCTGTTCACCAGAGCGAAGCAGTTCCTCAAGGCCGCATGCAGGTCCTCCCGCTGCATCTCCCCCATCAGCCGGACCCCGGCTGCCCTGAAACAGAGCAGGAGGGGCTGCATCCAGCTGGCCCAGGAGGGGCTGCTGGCCACGGCCCCCAAGGAGGGACATGTGGGTCAACACTGGAGGTGCTGGTGGAGGCTTTGGAAAGGGAAGGCCACCCTAGGGTGAGGAGGCACAGTGGGCCACACCCAGGTGACAAAGGGACTGAAACTCGGGCTTCCATTTGGGACCAGCTTCACTAGGGAGATACATTCTCTCAAACACAGAGAGTCAGACAGCTTTTGCCCTTTCCTGGGTAGGACCAGGAAAACAACACCTCTCTAATAATTCAACCTTTCCCCAAATGACTTTATGAACACTAGTGAGGGCAAAATGAATAAATAGCAGAAATATTAAAAGATAATTAAATACTACAAGATAATTAAATAATTGTATATAAAAGATAATAAGTGGGAATATTAAAAGAGAGATGTAGTGAAAGAGACACACAGCTTGTCGTCTTGGTCTGGCTGTTCTGTTTTCTGACCAATTGTCACCCCCAACCTCACAAGTGGGTTGTCACCCCACAACCACCATCTTGAAGCTTCTCTCTCCCCTTCCACACCGTGCCGTCCCCCAGGGCATCTGCCTCATGAGAGGCAGACACGTCCCTGCTCTGCTGGGGATGAGGAGCAGCACCGCGGACCTCTTTGCTGTCGGGGGGCCAGGGAGGCCAGGGAGAGAGGCTGGGGCTCTGGGGCTGGAGGGAAATCCCGCCACAGGGGGTGACATAACCAGGAGTCAGGTCCCTCTGGCCTTTGCCCTTTTCTGCCTTCCCACTGAACTGCAGGACACAGAGGGTGCAGTCCTGTGGCCACCTGGTCACCTGAGAGGTGGGAGCCTCAGCCACACTGTCAGCACAGAGACAGGAGAGCAAAGGCCCTGAGGTCTCAGCCAGGTCCCCACTTCATTCTCCGACCAGCCACTGTCAGGTTGTCTTGGTGAGCCTCTAAGCCTCAGCTTGCTGAGCCCAGGGAGCCGGGTCTCGTCCCTGGCAGACAAGTGCAATGTCTAAGAGGCACTTTGACATCTGCTCTCCAGGAGGCCGGAGCAGTTGCCACCTCATCCTCCAGGCGTGAGACAGGGCAGTTTCCCTGCATTCCTCCAAACTCTTTTCAAGTTTTGCCAATGTGATTCTCAAGGGGTCTCCCTGGCCATTCCCTGAAGATAAGTAAGAGGAACGTCTTAGGTTCTTGACCTATCAGTTTCCTTGCCTGGACAAGGGGGCCAAAAACAGGATCTCATAGGATCATGGGAGGATTAAAAGGCGTGACAGCAGCAAGGTGCTTGGCGCAGCTCCTGGGACTGCGGGGGAGAGAACTGTGCCTTTCACTGGCCACTTGGGCCCCTCGTGCAAAGCGTCTCTTCCCCTCCCTTACCTCTTCACCCTGGCTTTCACTTCCCTGGTGAACACGGGGTCAACCTAAAAAGAGAGAGACAGACCAATGAGTGCCGGTCCCAGAGAATCAGGTGGTGGCAACACAGCCAGACTCCACTATCCTGAAAGGAAAACAATAGAGGAAACTATGTCCTGAGTCTGGCGATGAAGCAGTAAAAACAGTGGCAGAAGGGACCCCAGGAGAGGAGGGGGGCAGTTATGCATCTCCTGCAGGAGGCAGACCCCTGGGCAGGCATGGGAGCCCTCAGGTGACCTGAGGTCCCGGGAGGAGCAGCAGTGGCACCCCAAGCCCTGCAGTGAGGCTGTTTGCTACCGGTACACGTGAAGACTGTCCTCAACTTCTGCAGAACGAGGACACCCTGAGCAGGCCTAGGGCAGGGCATCCAGGGGGTCCGGGAGCCCTCTGGAAATACAGTCTTAAAGGCAAGGACATGTCCATCCACTGAGGAATGAATGATCACCACGTGTTTACCTGCACAAGGGAGTGCCAGTCAGAAGGGACGGCTGGTCTGGGCTGTGGCCAGGGAAGCCTGGAAATATACACTAGCCAGACGGGAAAGGCCCCCAGGGTGCGGGCCCACTATGTGAGACACCCTGCGCAAGCGCATCTGCAGAGGCGGGGAGCAGGCTGGTAACCAGGGGGTGCCGAGGCACCAAGTCAGGGGAGGGAAGAGAAGGTGACTAGTTAGTGGACACAGAACGTCCTCTTGGGGTGGAGAAAACAACCTGGAATGGGGATAGGGTGCACAGCTGTGTGGATATACTAGAAGCCACCGGACTGCACGCTCTAAAATGGTCGTGCTTTATGGCATGTAAATGCCATCTGGAAAACTTAAAAAGCCAAGTGCAAACTTTGCAATTAGTCACAACCTAATATCCTCCAGTTTGGGTTTAATTCCTTTTTCCATCTGTCTGGAAGATGTCCTTTGGGACAGCTGTGCTTGTCCCAGCATGTCCCTGGAGACTGATATGTTTGTTAAATCAAGGCCAAAACGAGTGGCAGTATTTTCAAGCTGATACACTATCCCCATAACTTTCACTCCTTGAAGGCAGTACCTGGGCTTTCAGCACTGCATAAGCATGCAGAGGCATTGTTCACAAGCTTCTCTGAACCTCTGTTTCCTCATCTGTGACATGAGAGCACCAGCTGTGGCCAGGGTTACTGAGCACTCGGCCTTAAAATGCTGTCCCTGTTCGGACCTGCACCTACCTCTGAAGAGCGCAGAGCCCACCGCTGCTCATCCAAGCCCTTCTGAGAACAGCAAGCATGAGTGTGTCAGGCCACACTACTGAGACAACACTGCACAGGCGTGCAGGCTCACCAGGGCTCCACTTGGATTCTCTAGGTTGGGAAGGGCGCAAGCACCCATGTGACCACCTCCAGGACAGTGTTTAAGACACCACATGAGTGAGCAGGACTTTCTGCAACGAGGCTTTGTGCTAAGTGACCTGCCCAGTGTGGCCCAAGGCAAAGGCTCTGAGCACAGTCAGGGCTGGCCACGGAGGAGGTCGACTTGGCGCACTTTTGACATAATGATATTTCCCACTTACGACGGTTTGCAGGGAGGAGCCCCAGTGTAAGTCAAGGAGCATGTGTATAAGCTAAATAAAAAAGTGTCCTTCCCAGGGATGGGACCCCCGAGCACCTGGGACTACAGAGGAAAGGAAGCCACTGGGGTGGCCAAGGGATCACTGTGCCAAGGGAGCCAGCACCCCATTCCTGACTAGAACCCCCGTGATGCTGTGTGCGATGAGCTGTGTGGGTGGGTAGGCTCAGTGTAGCTGCCAGAGGGCCCTCCTCCCCCATCAGCCCACTCGCACGAGGCAACAGGACGTCCTTCCTCACCACATCTGCCCCACCTAACCACAAGCTCTTTCCAACCCACCTGGAGGCTGCCATCTTGCCCGACCATCCCTCCACGAGTGGTCAACAGCACGACTTTAAAATAACTGAAAACATCTTAAGTTTATGCAAACTTGTCACAGAATCCTCAACATGGCCTCAGATCACAGGCCGACGAGGGTGTGAGCAGAGCACGCAGTGTCCGCGTCTGCCTAGGGCTAGGAGGCGCTGGGAGTCGGCAGAACCAAGTCCTGTTCTCATTTACACCTCCAGTGGGAGTGGGGAACGGCAAGCCAGACAGCTCTGAAGACTGGAGGCTGTCCCTCTGGCTGACACCATGCTGCTTCCTAGAATCGTGCGTGCACTATCCTCTGGTAAGAAAATGCTTCGTGTGTGCGCTGGACCCCAGGCATTCCACTGAACCACTCTGGGCTGCCGGGCTCCCCACAAGGGTAAGTAGCGTTAGGTTTATTGACACCCCTGGCGTCCCTACGTGTTGGACTCGACACTAATCAGTGTCAGGAAGCTCACAGTGACATAGCAGGTCTCTAAAGAGTGTGGTCAGGAGGGAAATGGGCAGGGGGCTGGCTACTTCCCTTTCCTGCAGTCCTTGGGAGAGGACCTGAACAGAGCCACCCTAGCTGTGCAAGGGGCATGCAGCCCATCCTACGTGGCCCTGCTCACACAGCCCTGCATCATATCCTGGTGTCACATGAGCATAGGAGCTCACAGGAGCCATGAGCAGTACAGTGGCCAGAGCTCCCCAGCAAGTCCTCCAGCTTCTCCCTGGAGGGTGAACAGTGTGCTGGGGCCTGGGCAGCCCTGGCCGAGCACCACACCACTGGGAACCACTGTGCCGGCCTGCCTCAGGGGTAGATGCGTAAGGATGCAGAAGAAATTTGACGTTATTCCTAGAAAAACTCATGAGCAACTTGGTGTTTTCCGCCACTGTACGTGTTAGAGTCCATGCTCTGCCTCTCACTCGGTGCCAGACCTGGGCTGAGCCCCATGCTGAGCCCGCCACACACATTAACTCAGTAATTGCCATAATCCCACTATCATTGTCCCTTTCTACACATGAGGACACTAATGCTCAGAGAGGTCGTGTAACCTCACCAGGATCACACAGCTGCTGGAAGGACACTGGGCCAGTATGCAAATTCAGGCAGTGACTCTGACGCCTGGATCCTTAAAACCAAGCTCTCCTGCGTCTCCTGCCTCTCCGGCTTCTGCTCCAAGTGCTTCATCAAACAGTTCATAGAAAACTCATGTGGTCCCAGGAACACCTCCCTACTCACCCACAGTTCGCCCTCTGTACCCATCTAAGTCCCAATCTCCCCAGCAACATCACCCCTGTGCCCGTGACCTACTCAGTCTCCGAAGCACAGCCTGCACCACCTCTCTAAGGCAGGTCCCCGTCCTCCTGTCACTGCCAGGCTGGGGCTCCTTCCCTTCCCCTGGAGCCCCCTGGCCCTCCCCAGGCCATGCAGTGTCCGCAGACCCTCTGTGCCTGGGGACATCCTCCAGGTGAACCAGCCCCAGCTCGCCCTACTGTCCAGCACCTATCCTGCTTCCTTTGTTCAGATGAGGACACCGTGACCCCAGCCTCCAGCAGAGACACAGCAAACCACCTATGAATGCCCTCCTGGCCCACAGACTAACTTTCACATTCATATTTTACTTGTGATGACTTTTAGCTAGAAATCCTTCTTTTTAATTTTACTAGCATGCTTCGGCTCTCAAGATCACACATTCAGGGAAAAATGATTTGTCAAGGAAACAACTCCAGGCTTGTACGGCCTCCAAGTACCTGGTGCTTTAACTAGAATTTCGCTGAAGGTCTAACAACATCGCTGAAGATGAAGCTACAAACTGCATTGAGTTTTTCTGGGTTTATCTTCCACATCAGTTCATTTTCAAATCTCTTAGGGAAGCCAAGTGGAACAAAACACAAGATAAAAAGGAAAGGAAGGGTGGATATTTTTATTTAATGAAAGCACATGTTATGAAATTTTTAAAGGCAAATTGTTGCAAGCAGCAGAGAAAATTCTCATTTCCTTCTTCCAAGTTTGTTTATTTCCTAGCAAAAATATATTGTTTCAGCTCCCGGGCTTCAGGGAAATAATCTTTGATATGAGAAGTTATTGTGGAAAGTCATTAAGCTGTCATGCCCAGACCAAGTGTGCTCCCTGCACTCCTCATCAAAGAGCCCAGGAACGCACCCACACAAGGTGCCCCTGCGAGCCGGAGCCGCACGCTCTGCAGAAACGGGTGAACTGAGATCAAAGGCGCGTTAATGGGAAACCCAAGCCGAGCTCAGAACATCCTGCATCCAGAGCAGCACCTCGGCCCCCAGGGCAGAAAGGGAACGTGGGCACCAACTGGCTTGGACTTGATCGCCATGTGCCAGCCGCTGCCCCAGTCTCCCTCACTGGGACCTCACAGCAGACGGAGAGCAGATATTGCTGTCCTGGTCATCCTCGCCTTGTAGACAGGCAGACGGAGGCACAGGGCGGTTAAGTCACGAGCCCCCAGGCTCCGGGTGCTTCGACGTGCCTGTGACCCTCTACTGGCCATAGTGCTCACCACGGAGGAGCGCTCCCCTAGAGGTAGCAGCGGCTCATGCATCAGCTGATATGACACTAAGACCCAGCTTTCCGGAGAGCTCTTGCTAAGAAATCCACAGAAATAAACCTATGTAAGAAAGCTCTAAAAAATAAAATACATGGCATTGGTGATTTTTTTAAAGCAATCAAGAAACACTCAGGTTGCAATTTTGTAAGAAGAGCTGGTCGAGTAGATAAAAGCCAACGACAGACTGAGTGACGATATTCAAACGCGCGCCGTGGAGCCCGGGTGACTGCCTCTGGGCTGCCACAGGAAAGGTGGGTGAGAGGCCCAGGGAACAGGCTCCAGCCCCAGACTGCCCTCGGTGAGCTTCCTGCAGCTGGTCCTGCCTGCTTAGGTCTCTCCCAACTAGTGTGGGCTGCAGGCAGACGGGCAGCAGGTCCATCCCGCCCACTGGGATATGTCAGAGGCCTGGAACAGGCACTCACTCCTGGGCGAGCCCCCAACATAGCTGTAGATGTTAATGACATAGAACCCCAGACCTACAGAGAGAGCCGTAGACCGGGATGGGGACATGGTCACAACAGCACAGGACCAGGAAGCACACAAAGAA